ACAACAACAACAACAACAACAACCTCCTCCCTGCTCTCTTGAACATAAATTATGGAAAAAACATCTGGTTATTTAAACTTACTTTATACATTTGCAGTTCAAAATTAGGTGGAGACATTATGAATTCATCATACTGTGAAGGCATGAAATGTAAACACTACACATGTTTGAAAGGTCCGTCGGAGCGCAGCTGCCTCGGTGTTCTCTACCACAGTTAACCACTTCTTAAAATCCAATTAAGGAAGAATAAAAACACATAAGCTGAGCTTCAGTCACACGTTTGAACAAACTCCAACTGTTGAGTAAAATACACCAAACAGTTGCATCATCTTCAACCCTGAAGACAATGACTTGGCCACTCGTTTAACAGGAGTTTGCAAGGATTTGTTCTTAAATTAACCCCCCCTCTCTCTGCCTCATGTTCCTGTACTGCTCATGGTAATTATATGCAGGAACAACAGGAGCAGGGACAGCAACACTAATACTTAAATAGTTAATATTTGTTTGCAAGGCTTTACAGTTTTTAATGCTCTCTGTGTTTACTGCAGCAAAACAGAACAGAGATATAGAAGTGCTGCGCTGGCTTTAACAGAGGCGTACTCTTATCCTTGCACAGCTTTATAGCCAGAGACCCGTGCTTACAATGAGTTTGAAAATCCTTGAGTTTCTTTACCGGCCATACGGTGGAAAAACTCAGTACACCTGTGTGTCACGGTGCTCTGTACGTCGATGATTTACAGGGCAGGCATGTGCTGCATCGACAGTTTCACTCCTCTGACAGAAATAGACAGGATCGCTGAGGATTCGTCCCCTCTGTCAGCTCTGTTTATCTACTATTCACCAGCTCCTCTTCCTGTTGAGGCTGAATGTTGCATGAAACTGGTGGATTATTTTCTGTTAAATGGAACACACATATACACATTCAACTCCTATAGCTGATGTTACAGAGATGACACAGGAGGGAAGAAGATCGTTTAAACTCTCCGGCTTTACTGGTGTTTGTGGTCATGAGATCATGTTTTTATACTTTTTTGCATTTCTGCTCAACAGTGCCACAAGGGTAGCCTTGGACTCATTTCATCATTTATGAGAAATGCTTTGCAGTTTTTATAACTTTGTCTTTGCTTGTGTGGCAGGCGTCTTCACTGCACCAGAAACTACATCCACATGCACCTCTTTGTTTCCTTCATGCTACGAGCAGTCAGCATCTTCGTGAAGGACAAAGTTGTGTATTCCAGGGCGGGATTGCAGGACTTGGACTCTGCTCTGCTCGACAGCTTAAAAACTGTTAGCATAGCATCACTGGACAAGTCGCAGTATGTAAGTACCATGCACATTAAATAAGATCCAAATTAGAGATGTGGTACAGTGTTTGTTGGAATGAGTGACTTTAATCAGGCTCAGCAGGTGTCATTACACAACAAAGCCAGATTTTGTTTCTGTGTATTTCTAAGAAAAATAGATTTTACTCACTGGACATATAAAATTCATGCAAATATTTTGCACATTAATATATTTTGGATCTTAATGCAGCCGTTCACACCAACCATATAATTTCACAGGATGAATTTGCAGCATTTATTTTTTGAATTGAACCTGATTTTTCAGATGCAAATAAAAAAACAGTATTGATTGAATTATAAAAATCCTCATAAAAAGCACAGTAGGGTAAAATGAATCCAAGAGAAATGACAAACTCAAACATCAGAAAGCGTGCCAAAGGAAGGAAAGCAGTGAGAACTGCTGAGGTGCTCGTAAACAAACAAGCTAACAAAAACAGACGGCAACACATGAATAAATATGCACACAGGGCTGATGAGGATCAGGTGGAAACAATCATGAAATCACAAAGAAAATGATCTAATCTCAGTGTCCACCCTCACACACTTGAAGCATCATCCAGCTAAGTCTGTGGGGGCTTATGGGTGTCCCACAGTCAATTTGTCAAGTGCGTGAGGACCCTTTGGTGGATATTTTGAGCCTTTGTGCAAACTTTCTCCAAGTCCAAACGTCTGCAGAGTGGCCTAAGGGAATTACTCACACAACACAGTCCCGGGACATTAAACATGGGTTGCCTCAGAAGAAATCCAGTACAGGAAAAAAAGTTAAGAACAGAAAATCTTTGGGCAAAGCAACCACCCCAAACTTTGAATAAAATCAGAAGAATTAAAAAATGAGTAACAGGTTATTTGACAATGTCAATGTCAAATAACCTGTTAAAGGTTATTTGACATTGACAGCCAGGATTTAGACCCAAGACAAGATTAAGCTAAAAAAAGCCCCCAAAAAACCAGATTACTCACTACAGTTACAAATTATAGATTATCACCACTGAGAATAAAATAAGAACAAACTAAGAAGAAAAACACAAAGATGAAACAAAGAAACAACCAGAACTCGAGACCAAAAAACCCAAAACATTGAGCAAAAGTCCCACGATTCAAAGTGAGGTCCTTAACATCAGACAGGAAGTCTTTAAACGTGTTGACCTCAAAGCTCTGCTGCTGACCAATCAGGTGACGTCACTGAAGTCAGCGAGGGTTTTGTGGGGTTTTTTTTTATCACTGGGTTGATGTTTGAGACTGAACCAACCAGACAAAGGAAGCAGAACAAGACACTTTCAAAATAAAACACGACAGAGAGCACCACAGAGCACAGGTGGACACCATAACAACAAAAACGTTGATGAAAAATCCCCACAAAATAAGCATGAACTGTATGTCGCAGGAGATGTGGATCTGAATATGAAGAAGCGGAACAGTACACAGTGAACACAACGATGGGATGTTTTTAGAGAATTTTCTATGAAACAAAAACAGAGAAATGTCTAATAAAATGGAGTCTGATTCATTTATAACCCCGAGCAGCTTATAGACAGTGACGCCAAAACTTCTAATGGTTTGACGTTACTGCTGATGCATTTAACCTGTGTGACGTTCAGAGGATGGGTTAACAATTCTATTTATTTATCCATTTATTTTTTTTTGCTTGATCCCTCGTAGGTTAATTTGAATGTTGTAAACAGCTCTATTAGTCCTAATTATGATGTTAATAACAGGTGACTTGGGTGTTTATGTGTACCGATAACATGATGACATGAAACAGAACTGCTGGCTGTGTTACAGGTTTTTCTGTCCTTGAAAAGAAGGATGAGACATTGTTAAAGTGAGCAGATGAAAGGTTTTTGTCCCGATTTTTTTTCTTCCTTTCTTTGAAGCCACATGAACACGTACGCAACGAGAAATGGCATTCACTTTAGATTTGTTTGTTTATCCTGGGTTTTCTTCCATTTGTGTGTATTTAATTTGTGTAAGTCACCAGTTTTAGACTACATTATTATCCCAGCTACAGACCCCTTGTATTTGGTATTTAAATTTCATTTGTCTTGCTGTAGCAAACAAGAGCAGAGCTTGTTTTTCCTGTTTAAAGCTTAGAGTCTTGTAAGCAGCATTGTTAGTATTAATTATTCGGTTTGCACTTACTGTACCAGCTGATTTAGTTATTTAAATGTATTCATATTATTCAGAGGAGCAATTCCACCCTCACAAGCTTGTTAATTTAAATGATTAAATAAGGTGCTCTGGTAAGAAAACGTAAAGTTCCAGAAGGAAATACAATGAATGTTCATTGATGAGCAACATGTTTCAAGGTGAAACCTTTAGTTTGGAGTCCACTTACCTGTAGCTGGAGCATATTTGCTCCAGGAAACTGAGATAATCGCTTGAATACTTGAATGACTCAGCCTTTGAGTCTGAGACAGTCGGAGCCACAACCTATACCATCACATACTGCCTGTGATGTATAATGGAGCATCTACTTGCATGAGTTCTGCAAGATTGTGTACTGTATATATATGGAAATGGGTGGAAACACATTCTCACCTTTGGCAGGACTCTTCCACAGAAAATGTCCTATTTTCACATTCCAGACTGAAAATAAGAGGCAGTAACGTTTTAAGTGAGACTTCTCCTGCAATGACTGCATTGCAGGAGAAGTCTCACTGCTTTTTCCTTTAAACATTAATTCAGTGTGTGACTCGTCCCTGTGAGAAGGTTTCCCCACTGAATGTGAGAGCAGACTTCTAGTGTTAAACTATTCTCCACACAGTGGAGGTAAACAAATCATATATGCGGCACACTTAGGAGTTGTTTGGTCCCCGAGTGAATGCACAGGCTGGACTGTAGCAGGACTGAGTATGAAAGTCTAATGTGATTGGTACTCATGGCCATTGATGAGTGGGCTTTGATCAGTGGTTGTTGATCAATGGTCAGGAGAATTTGCATATTAATGATGAAAGAACTGACCTCCCAGCCCATTGTTCATTCAGTGGTGCTGGTTTCAGTCATTATGCAAATGTCCTGTTTATAAGATTGAAACATGCAGTCAGCTGAGACTGAAGACGTCACCTGGATGAGTGACGAAACATTTCTCCCACTGAAAACATCCAGATGAACAGAATCAACTTTTGGAGATTTAATTTGTTGTGCACAAATTACCAGGGTTATTATATGTGTTGTCTTAATTTTAAAGATTTGTTTTTAAGGAAACTATTTTTTACAGTTTTAGGACTGGGTTTGCACACTTTGATATCAATTTTCCACAGTTTAAAAATGTTTTAATACTTAGAGTTAAACTGGGTGTCTAGAATACAATAATACGAGTTATTTTGGGGTTTTTTTGTCTCTTTTTTTGAGATGTCATTAATCTATTTCCCCCCACACTTTCGTTAACTTGAAAAACCTTGTAAGTTAAACTTTTTGGAATTTAATAACACTGTAATAATCTTTAAATCCCGGTACTTTCAGTCCCACTACTTTAATCTATATAGTGTCAGTTCTATTGTAACAACTGAGTAGTGAGTTTAGCAGACTTCTATCATACGATTTTACTTTTCAGAGATGAAAAATGACAAAGAAAACAATCCAGTTTACGTCTGAAACCTTTACGGTATAAAATTTAGTGGTTATAGCCTGTACATGTCACTAATCTTGGAATCATACACAAACAATGACATAGTTAGCAGAAGCTGCTTTACTCTGTTTATGTTCTAGTTAATAACATATTTGCCCATCTTTGTGCAAATTTATACAACAAGCTGCTTCTGATTGTAATGAGATCATTTCCTCTCTTATCATCACCTGTGGTGTTTGAATACTTTGAAGTACTGTGATCATCGCGTGTGTCAACACACAGACATGCAAAATAACTGCATAATAAGCTGCATAATACTAGTTTCAAATAGGATCTGATAAAACTGTTAATGCTTTCAGATTGGCTGCAAGGTGACTGTGCTGCTCTTCATCTACTTTCTGGCTACCAATTACTACTGGATTCTGGTAGAAGGCCTTTACCTCCACAGTCTCATCTTCATGGCCTTCCGATCAGATTCCAAATACCTCTGGGGTTTGATACTCATCGGATGGGGTAAGCACTAAAAGATTACATTACACATAACGCAGTTATGAAGGAGGACAAAACGTGACGAAAGCATCAGTTCTGAAGTTTATGGCTTCATTGCAACTACAATATGACATCATATGTAAAACAGCGCTTAATGTTTCCAACATGCTTCAGAGAAGAGACTGTGTAGGGGAATTTCCAAACCTTTCGAGCAGAGTTAAGTGAGTGATTAACAGAAGTCAGTTTTATATCTGCAGTTTATTGTTGTTTTGATGGCAGTT